CTGGCCTACGCTATCAGACGAAGACTGGATCAAGGTCGAGGTGCAATTACGTGATCTCATCCTCAACGACTACGGCAAGAAGAACAATGTCAACACCTCGTCGCTTACGAGCAGCGAAGTGCGTGACATCATTCTGGGTATGGAGATCTCAGCGCCATCGATGCAGCGACAACAGGCGGCAGAGATCGATAAGCAGCAGGAGGAGCAGGCACAGCTGACTGCCGTCACCACGAAGACCCAGAATGTCCATGGTGAGGAGATGGTCGTTACGACAACCTCCCAATACGAGCAAGCCGCGTTCAGCTCAAAGACTGAATGGCGAACACGAGCTGTTGCTACGTCAAATCTGCGAACCCGTGCGAACAACATCTATATCAACTCAGAGGACGTCAAGGAGGAGGGCCACTTCACCTATGTCATGCCGAAGAACGTTCTGAAGCGCTTCATCACGATTGCCGATCTTCGTGTTCAGGTCGCCGGCTACCTGTACGGCAGGTCCCCACCAGACAATGATCAGGTCAAGGAGATCTGCACCATCGTCATGATCCCACAGGTCGGCAACACCCGCGATGTGCAGCTACCGAAGCAGTTGCCTCAACACGAGTACCTCGACAACCTCGAGCCGCTAGGCATCATCCACACTGTCAGCGGTAACGAGCCACCATACATGCAAGCCAGCGACGTCACCCAGCACGCGCGCCTCATGAATGCACACGCAAGCTGGGACAAGAAGACCGTCTCCATGACCGTCTCCTTCACACCTGGTTCCGTTTCGCTCGCTGCATGGGCACTCACCCCCAACGGCTACAAATGGGGCGCCGACAACAAAGACACCATGTCGGACAACCCAGCCGGGTTCAGCACGTCTTTTGGCGAGAAGTGCCAGCTACTTCTCTCCGACAAGATCCGCGGATATTTCTTGGTCCCTGACAACGGGCTTTGGAATTACAGTTTCATGGGCAGCACATTCGGCGTGGTCGAGAAGAAGCCAGTGCACGTAAGGCTGGATACACCTGTTAGGTTCTACGATAGCTTGCATCGGCCCGTACATTTCCATACATTTGCGGAGCTTGAAGATGTGTGGGTCGATCGGGAGAATCAGTTTGAGTAGAATATTCCAGGCAAGGTGGATGGATCATGGGCTGGCGTTATGGTCAAAGGGCGTTTTGTGCGGGATATTGCATACATGCATGGCAGATTGAGCGATGCATGATGGGGTGAAAATAAGTGTAGTATAGTAATCTTTTCGAGTCAATGTATTTTGGAAACATCTGAAATGATCTCATGGTCCTGACATTCCTTGCCCGATGCTGCAATGCTTGAGACCTGTTCAATCTCAGCTATTGCAAATTGTAAGCTCTGGATTGACTCACGTACAGTGTCCTGGACATTGACAGGATAGTTTCTACTTCTCGCATTCGAAGCGTGTTCTGAGCAGATGTATCCATCTTTGAACGTGCGGATCAGAATACATCGAGCTTGATTGACCGCTGGACATTGAATGCTCGGATGGATCCTGTGGTTCATGTTCTGGATGATGCTTTTCGCTTCTGCTCCAAGACCTTTGGGTCGAGCAATGGCGAGGGCGTGAGGAGCGGATTGAACGTGACCACTATATTACCAATAAGTCTCGAGATTCCAACAATGGGTTCTCAAGATTACCTTTGCTCTTTCTCGGCTCCAAGATGAAGCTCACACTGTCCAGGCTCGTGCTTGGCTGTGAAGAGGACGTTGACGTCATCGGCTTCTTCGAAGACCTTAATGGCCACTTTTTGTTCGTGTCGTCCCTCATATCGAATTCGAGCGATTAGGAGAATCCGGGTAATATCTATTCAGTCAAAGATACGAAGCGGATGGTAGGGCTATGCAACATGCAAGTCTCCTGCACCTCTTGCCCCGCATCTTCCTCATGCGGCAGCTGCGCGGGGTTGCCTTAATCGCAGCTCACCAAGAGGAACCACTAAACACGGCTGACTGTACACTGTCCTTATCGTGTCGTACAAGCAATGGCTGATTGTAGTAAATCAATATAGATATACCACATGTACGGCTTTTTTTATGTTAGCCTTCACAACCTTTGCTCTTCCCCCATGTGTTTGCTTGACGGCACGCAACCAATACGATGATCCAATTATCTATAATTCACAACCAGTCAGGAGCTATCATCAAGTACTTGTTCATCGGAGTTCTCATCTATGTCAGTAATGTTCCCAACTCGTACAAATTGTGCTAATTTTGTTGAAGATCGTTGCTCTATGCATTTATCGCGTCTACTTCCACCCACTCGCAAAATACCCAGGTCCGATAAGCTACAAGCTCAGTGGCTGGCCGTTGCTGTGGCAAGCTTATACTGGCGATCGACATATCTGGCATCTGAAGGACCATGAGGAATATGGTAATGATTCCAATGCCAAAAGTTATTCAGCAGTATACACAGATAATCTAACGCTTCTGAGGCGATATTGTCCGCATTGCGCCCAATACACTTTCTTTCAACACGGCGTCCGCGCTGAGTACAATCTATGGTCCGAGATCTGCTAATGTGCAGAAGGGGGAATGGTGAGCATCAACAGGTAACACGTCTGTAATTCTATCGATTGATGTTGCCCAGGTATAAAACATTCGACATCGCCGCGGGAGCGTATAGCAGTTTCACCGAAACAGATCGCGAAAAACACGCAGTGCGACGACGATGGATGACTCCCGCCTTTTCAGCAGAGTCGCTCAAAGTGAACGAGTCACGCGTGATCGATGTTATTGAGCGCTTTTGCAACACTTTGACGCCGCGAAGTTCTGGATGGGGAGAGAAGTGGAACGCAAGTGAGATGAGCACGTACCTTGGTTTTGATATCATGGGTGCTTTGGTGTTTGGGAGTGATTTTCGGACTGTGCAAGAAGAGGAGAACAGGCATTTGGCCAACTCGGTTCTGCCAGCAAGTATGCTGATGTATTGGGTATGACCTCGATTCGGTTAAGTGGATTTGAGAACAAACCGAGTACTGATCGACATAGGTATCATATCTCCCGCTAGCCTTTCTCGTCCGACCGCTGCTACGCACCAGCTTCTTCGAGGTTGTTGGCGGCAAGTCAGTACAAGATAATAATCGGCTGATCGATTATGCGCATAGCCAAGCACAACTTCAGCTTGCAGAAATAACAGCAGAGAAACGGGTAGAAAGCGGAAGAATTGACTTTCTATCCCACGTCGTCGACGCCGAGGACAAGAAAACAGGACTCCGTCCCACCGTCGCAGATCTTGGGACTGAGGGCTTGAATATGATCAACGCTGGCGCTGATCCCTTTAGTAGTGTGCTAGCCGGCGCGATATTCTACCTCATACACAATCCTGAAGCCCTGGAAAAAGCTACCGAGGAAGTCCGGTCAGTCTGTTCCCTTCCATAAAACCCTCATTACTCACCACCTCCTAGGATGACATTTTCTTCCCCCTCCGAGATCGCCAACAACGCTCAATTGAACTCCTGCACCTACCTCTACGCCTGTATCGAAGAAACCCTCCGCCGCACCGCCCCCGTACCCAGCCACCTCCCTCGCGTCATTCTCCCAGGTGGCATGACCATCGACAACGATCATCTCCCCGCCAAAACCGTCGTCGGTGTACCTATGTATGCCATCCACCACAACCCAGACTACTTCCCCTCCCCCTTCGCGTTCCGTCCTGAGCGCTGGGTCGAATCGCCCACAAACCCGGCATCAAGTATCGCGTTGGCTAGGAAGGCATTTAATCCGTTCAGTATCGGGACGAGGCAGTGTAGTGGGAGGGTATTGGCGTATATGCAATTGAAATTAACACTGGCGCATTTGTTGTGGCGGTTTGATATCAGGGAGGCGGAGGGTGAGAGGGGAAGAGGGGGAGGTGGGAAAGAAATGGGAGTGGGTAGGGAGAGGGAGGATGAGTTTCAGATGCGGGACGCATTGGGGTTTGGCAGGGATGGGCCGATGGTGGAAGTCAGGGCCAGGGAGGGTGGTGTGCAGGAGGACTGAAATCTCGCCATTTTAGACGCAATGGGTTGTTTCATTTTAGATCAAGTCGTCGTATTGCGAGATGCTCAAGTTGCGCCCTTGCTAGCAGTCTCTCGATTTGGTCTATTGTGCGATTCCGTGGCGAGATGGTCAATAGGAGGGATTCATTGAACACATGCAGAACTGAGTTTTGAGGTCTAGTCAGCATGGGATGTAGTGATCTGCTACAAGGGAGATTCCTAGTTAATGCGAAATCGATGAATGACCAGTGGGGATGCCTGTATTCAGTACAGTGCAGGTAGTACTCCCAGGCGAACAAGCATAAACACTTTAGTGTATGGCACTATCCATTGTGAGTGAGTGCTTCCAGTTTCAAGTACCCACTTCCAATATCAGTCCACGAGATTCTCGGCTAGTGGCAAAATGGAGTAAAGTTCTCTCTAGTCATCTGTGCTGCCAATGTGGATTAGGAAGATTATCGTCTTCTTCAAGATACCTGTAAGCATCGAAAGTCTTCCTCCTCCAGCAAAGTTTCAACGGAGACAATTAGAAAGACAGATAGATGTCCATGCAAAGACACATGCGTCGAGCAATTTGGGAAGACTAAACCACGAGACGGGAACGCAAAAGTTTGCACATGATCGAGTTGTGCGGAGTAACATGTAACACGTTACATACGACTTCAAAGACAAGTGATACTTGAAAGTCTCTGGTGGTATTTCTGGGCTGACTTCTTGCCGTGAAATAGCGTTGTGTAACGCAGTTATCCGCTTGTCTTTCAAGGTTCGCTCAACATTTCACCCCACTTAGCGCCTCCTAATTGAGCCAGCAGGCTCTGGTGGACCCTTGCTTACCGTGTTATGACTGACAAGCAAATTGGGCTCGGAAAACTCTGCCGCGGCTCAATCGATTTTGTTTTTTTGCGGATTATAAGTTTAATAATTTTCTATAATTCTATATTCATCAGGCAAGATGGCCGGTTAGTCTCCCCTACCTCCCCAAGCAATCGATCCTGTTCTAACATCATCCCAGAGCGGTTAAGGCGCTAGCTTCAGGTGCTAGTAGAGAAATCTGCGTGGGTTCGAGTCCCACTCTTGTCACCATATCTTTTTGCTGTTTTGTATCGCTTGTGCTGTGGCATCTCATTTTTTTCATGCTGATCTGGATGTGCGCGGGCCAACGTGGGCGACACGCGAAAGTGGGGCAGAGTCAGTCACAAAGATAAGGTTAGGTCTGTGCGCAAGCTCGAGGGACTGGGGACACGACTTGACGAAGCCATCGCAGATCTTGGAAGTAAAGTATGATGTTTCTTTAGTATAAGAGACGCCTGTTTGTTTGAAGACATGCGACTTCCAAACAAATTACTGCGCAAAATGGAAGGATCGACGTGCTGGACCATGCAAGGGACCGTGAGCTTGGCTTCGTCCTGGACGCCTCATCGACACAGCCACGGCTGACCATCTTGCCGCCATGCGATGTCCACCCATCTAGTTTTCATTCTTATTCAGTATTGTACTCGTTAAAGCTCGTGAGCACTATCGAATAGCTATTGCTGTTGCATCGGCGGTGTTGTCATGCGACGTTTCGGCTCGAGGCGGCATCCACGACAAAGGACACTCCATACGCTATCGCATTGCTGAGCATCCGGAGAAAGTTTAGTTACCTGCCTGAGAACATGGCCCGCTGGTCCGGATCGGTAGCAGGTCTCACCATCGGAGTTGTCTTGTTGTTTAGCTCCTTTGTGTGCCCATTGGAGACTGGCCAACGTCTTGTTCCACAAGGTATATTGATCTTTGTCGTCAATCATTCATTCTATGCTGAGTCTCTTAGACGAATCCCAACTGGCCTATGAGGCCGACAATCAGAACGTTATACACGAGACCATCCCATTGGAATCATTACCCACAGGTCGTGATTCATCTCAACTATCATCAGACCATGGACCTGTCCTCACGACTGACAATGCAATTCACAACCTAGACCAGGCACTCTCCGTTCTGCAAGATGAATACTTCTCTCTCTGGCTCGGAAAATGGACAACAGCAATAGACTGGACCGCCGCAGTCACGAATACATACATCTCCGCCACGCTCTCGACTCTGTCACGCTCTTTCAGGTACAGCTCGGCCAGTTCCACCCCCGAGGACGCCATCGCCTCCCAGACTATCGAGAACTCAATCAACAGATACTTTGGCCAAACCACCGCCTTTTACTACGGAGAAGAAGCGTTCGCTATAAGAATGCAAGCCTTTGATGATATGCTTTGGGTTGTTCTTGAATGGCTAGAAAGCATCCGCTTCATCAACTCACACTCGTCCGCTCATCACGCTGGTACCTGGCACGGCAAACAATTTATCCCACCCTTCGCCCACCGCGCTCGCGTCTTTTACGATCTCGCAACTGAAGGCTGGGACTGGCGTCTCTGCGGCGGTGGCATGACATGGAATCCCCGTCTCTTGCCATACAAAAACGCCATCACGAACGAATTATGGATTGCCGCGAGTGTGCAAATGTACTTGGACTTCCCTGGCGACGCGAATCACAGCCCTTTTATTTCTGCAGAAGATATACCCAAAAAGTGTCTTTCGACACCAGAATTGTGTGAGCACTTCAAAGATGCTGACGTAGGTCGGCAACGTGGCAGGTATAATCCCATCTTCCGCCAAAATGCCATCAACGGTTATGAATGGCTTGCAAACAGCGGCATGCGCAACGAACAAGGTCTATACACCGACGGTTTCCACATCCGCGATTACCGCACAAATCACAGCTTAACGACGTGTAATGAGCGGAATGAGATGGTGTATACGTACAATCAAGGCGTGATTCTCAGCGGCCTGAGAGGGTTGTGGGAAGCGACAGGCAATGCGACATATTTGGAAGAAGGGTATGAGCTCATTGGGAATGTTATCAAGGCGACAGGATGGAAGACGCGCAAGGATCGTGATAAGTGGCATGGCCTCGGCTCTAAAGGTATACTTACGGAGCGATGCGATCCGTCTGGGAGTTGCAATCAGGATGGACAAACTTTCAAGGGTATATTCTTCCACCACTTGACTGCGTTTTGCGAATCGTTGCCGTTGGAGGCCGTCGAAGAGGGAAGAACGTTCGCTGCGAGTCGGGAGTTGGCAAAGTGGCATAGGAAGAAGTGTGACGCGCACACAGCTTGGGTAGTGCATAATGCACGCGCGGCGCTCGGGACGAGAGACAAGAAAGGCAGATTTGGGAGTTGGTGGGGAGCATCGGTCAATTCTGATGGTATGCACGATGTGGACGTTGAAGACGTTGGGGCGGTGGATTATCGTAACGATGCCGGTGCGCTCAGGAGACTGGATATTCTGCTTGATGTGCACGAAGTCATAGATGAGAGCGTGGAATCGGAAGACGACATCACTTCTGAGGATCTGAACGATCGTGGCCGGGGAAGGACGGTGGAGACGCAAGGTGTGGGACTGAGTGTTGTTAGGGCGATGATTGAGTTTTTGAGATGGAGAAGGAATGGAGCTCGAGATGGTGACTAGATGCCTTGAGGTAGATGGAAGGGGATGTAGCTTGAGCTGAGCAATTCTTCTTCTCAAGTATAATCATCGGCTTGCTTGTCTGCGACCCATCATTATGGTACATGAGAGGCCATGTCTTGCCCTGCCTGCCTAGTCTGTACAAGACTCTAAGGCGACGGAGTCCGCCTGAATGCAATAACTCAGGAAAGGCGTGCCTCTTGCATGCCCGAGATGGGAATACATCCGATCAATCACTAATCCTCTACAATCCTCGGCCATACTGCGCCCCTGCACCTTCAACGGGATAAATGCAGTGCAGCGCAAATTAATTCACGCGCTGCTAGACTATCGGAGCAGCCTCAATGCGATATCCTAGCGGCGTACAGTTTCATACAATCTTGCTGGAGGCCTCACCATGTAGAAAGGCCTTCAGGAATGCCTTAGAGGAAGTGGAAAAGTGTAGTGGTCATGATCGAACGAGTGTGATGCTGATCTCGTGACTCCGACAATTCCCGACCCCCCAGATCTGTCCACAAACATCCTTCCCGCTCTCCCCTGGGGCAAGCCTCCTTCACATGGAGAACCCAACACCCTTGTACTGCAAAAGACATGGTACGGGTACCAATAGTAACCCTGTCGATCCCAGGAATAGCGCGACCTCGGTCCCAACGTCAAAAGACGGGATGGCGTAAGCCCCACCCTGGTCAGGACGCGACCCGCTCAACCCGCCCTGCGTTCTTCTGGCGAAATATACAGTGGGGACGTGTTGCATCTTGTTAGTAACAAGATTGGGTTTGCCTGACATGCTGACATGCTGACGCGCCCTGCATTCGTCACAGTACTGCAGAGTGACAGTGACAGTGACAGAGACGCGTGAGGGTGTGGACAGAAGATCGTCGCTGCCGGCTTTGGAAAAAGCGTGCTCGAATGCCGAGGAAGTTGCCGTTAGTCAACCAGATTTCAACCATGTGAAATATCGGCATCGGCATTATGCAGTGCGCGTCTCGCCGGATCGACACTCGGGATCAGCATTGTCAAGATCATCCAGGCTGCAGGTACGTAGAGAGAAAAAAAGTGCTCAAATTCATAAAATGCTAGTCTAGTAACCATGCGATCGCGCCGGCCTAGTGATGTGCGCTGCGCGTGCGTTGCCGTCATGCGACACCAGACTTGCCTCGTCGGTGTCGCTGTTAGTTCTCTTCACTGTGTAACTTGTCTCCACCGTGATTCCATCGCCTTTGTCTAGTGTCGTTGAGCCTGCCGATCGTGACGAGTGCACTGCTGACGCATTGTTCCGCGAGCGCTGGCTCTTCTTGCTCATGTTGCCGAGTTCATTGTTGCTTCCGTAGCCGTACTTGCGGTATTGCTGTCCACTGCGGGCAGTGGAGCCGCCGAGGATAGGGAACAGTTTGACGAGGAGGAGACGGACGGTCGGGAGGCAAGCGCACATAATTCCAACGCCGACTTCGATGGTGCTCCACACGGATACGTCGTAGAATTCCCAGCTGACGTTGTTCGATGAGGCAAAGTGGACGAGTGCTTGTAGGCGCAATATGCTCACGACGGTGATAAAGGTGCCAACGCAGAACATCATGGCGACGCCAATCTTCTTTTTCCAATGCATCTTTAAGCCCCAAAGCTGCCAAAGCGGGATCCCAATACTCCAGAAGTCGAGTGCGATGCTGATGGCGGCGTTCGAGGACGTTACAGAGTTGATGTCTAGACAAGTACCCTTGTGAAGGCCATCCCATTTCGTCCAGAAATAGCTGATCGGTCGGCATTGAAAGATGGCGACGACAATGTAAGCAATACCCCACGCAGTGGTGAATGCTACGGTCCCCCATAGTACGCGTTGCGCCCCCTTGCCCGGGAACACCCTGATGTAGAAGAATAGAAGCGATAGCTTCAAAAGCGCGAGTTCGGCGAAATACAGCGAGGCCTGAATGTAGAAAGATCTCAACATCGTCGTGATTTGATCAGGTCGCAAGGTCCACAGGTCCTTGCCCAAACCGTTGGGGATGGTATTGATGACGATGACAATGGTGTTTGCCAGTGAAATCAGCACTGTAAGAATCATGCTCCAATCGTCCAAACCAAGGTCATGTCCATCGACAAGCTTGAATGCGATGCGCGCGACGACGAAGACGCCTGCCAAAACGATCATTACATAGGATAAAGTGGTGTAGCTGGCTCGTCGGTCCCGGACCGGCGCACCACAGTTCGTGGAGCTAATGTTCTTCATCGCAAGGCTTTCGGGAATTGTACAGTTCTTGGCCAGGCATAATGTGACGCCTTGTTGGAATTGCGTGTTTGTGCAAGTGCAGGTCTGGTTGGTAGGACTGCATGTCCGAGTCGCAAATTGCTGAGCGAGACATCGTTGCTATCGAGGGTTAGATTTCGCAAAGTGTAAGCGAAAGGAGAAGTACTTACGGCGCATACTGGGACATTTGATGTTGTGCCAGACTGCTGTGCCAACGACAGACACGATAAGGCGAAGATACACAGGACCAGCAACAGGCGCATGCGTTGAGCCATGTTGGAGATCGTGCCCAGGGTTGAGTCAAGACCCTGCGACAGATCACCTGAGATCTACTCAACGC